CCAGGGTCATATGATTGCAATTTGCAACTTTCCCAGCCTGCTTCTGACAAGCAAAGTCAATGGGGGAAGATGGATTTGCTTAACAACTGCCTGATTCACTTAGGGGTTGTAATATTCACTTAGCAAAAATGAATCAAAATAGTTGTAAAATAGTTGTAAAATGGAGCATGACTTACTTAACAACCACCTTGCTTAGCAAACGGAAATTCTAATCTCAATTGTGATTGTAAGTCGAGGGCTACCTATACAACAGAGCAGCAACAGATAAAATAAATAAAAAAAGGCACTAGATGAGGAACATTTGTCCTTTCTTTTGATCAAGAGTGGGCAATCTGGACCTTGTATAATCCTGAAGAGCCTTTGATTTGGTCATCCATGACAGTTCAAAACTTTCTTCCTTCTTCTTGTCTGCTCTGTTTACTTTGACAAGTTTCAACTTTTCATCTTCAGCAAATTTAACCATGATGAAAAAATGACACACACATACAAACAATGATGGTTGCTTGACTTCAATTGAAGTCCATGAGTCATAAAAGAGCCGAGCTTGCCTACCCCTGGCTTAGTGATTAAAAACATTGTTTCTCACAATTTGAAACCAAGAAATCTAAGGTTTCATGAGATTTTTAAAAAGTGCATTTTAGAAAAATGCAACATAGGGAGCTATGAATCCAGACCTATGAGAACTAGTATGGGTTTTCAGAATGTAATCGCTGGGAATATTTAAATTTAAATTCTAAACATACAACTTTTAAAAATATTGTGATAAATAACCCCCATTTTCTCCTGTTCCGTTTGGTATTTATATAGCCTTAGGATCATATTCAACACAGGACATCTTTTACTTAAGCATTGTAAATAGAAAAATAATGTGGGGAATGCATATATAAGTGGAAGATGTGTAATTATATATGTATTTTGTTGTAGTGCATGGTTGTAAAAACTGACTGATTTTGTTATGTGTGTGTCGGTCCGCACAGACATACAAATTAGTATTTCTAGGTGGATAAACAGGCAGTTCTATCTTTTAGTAAGAACAATGTATGGGAAATGTTTGTTTCAAGCTAATTCCACTGAATTATTGTCATGAGAAATAAAATTAAGTAAATCGCTTCAGTACTTTTTTACAACTATGTAATGGATAAATTATTTATTAACAATTAATAAATTGCTTTTTATTTCAGTTTGGTGCCATCTAGAACAGCATCTTGAGTGTTGCTGTGAAACTAGACCTCAACCCAAACAATTTTTTCTTAGACTGCTAAGTTGTGAAATGACACCTGTTTATCATTGTTCCATCCCGCAACTCAGAGATCTGTATGTGGGCATTGATATAGAAGGAATTTAGAGGTTCTTTCACTTTGTCTAATATTGTGCTGCCTTTCAGGATATTTGTCCAGTCTAACAGGGTTTAAATAGAGTAGAAGAAAATCTGCTTCCAAAAATTCTTCCCAGGAATTTACTGATCCATATCAAGTTTGCAGAATCAAGGCAGCCAAATCTATGTGCCATTGAATCACCTGATGAAACCCAAGTCCAAAGGAATAATTTAATTCCCCTGTCACACTAATTCAAGACTGGCAGACTTCTGAAAGATGTTACTTAAGCTTTCCAGTGGAAAGATTTACTGTCTTTCCCAAGGAAAATATTTTTTTCTTACTTTGTTTTGCAAATTGCATCTTAGTGTACTAATACATTGTACATTGTCTATTATCTTTCTGCTTTGGGATTATTCTAAGCTTTGTTTTTCAAAAAGGTGTCACAGGAAAGGAAAGCTGAAAGCAATATCTAACAATAAATAAAATAAAACATACAGCAACAGATGCTGCTGTGATCACCGTTGTTGATGTCTGGGATAAAACACAAAAGGGAGACAGTAGATTAAATGCAGGCTTTCAGTGAAAAGCAAGTGAATAGGCCAAATATATTATGGCACAGCTGTCAGTTTGAGATGCCAAAGATAGCAAGTCATCGGTTACTGAAGTTATGATTATAATGTTCAATGTCATGGCCGCATCATTTGAATTTTCCTTCTCTTTGCCATTCTGGGTCACATACACTAAAATGACTCAGGCCATCTACAGCCATGAGGGTCAGGGTTACCTACTGAAAATATCAATTTCCTGCCATAAATTAGGATTCACCTGACCCATCAGCTCCATTTTGGCAATATTTTCAAGCCCCGACATTATTTACATTTCTGTCTTATATTTATCTTTATAGTGCCAAATCTAAAGAACATCTGAAGTGCTTCAAGTACTTGTGTGTGTGTGTGGGGGGGTGTCCTTGGTGCTCTCTGAGCTGGGTTGTTTGTTTGCAGACATTTCCTTGCCTAGCTAGATCACAACAATGCTACTGAGTGGGGTGGGGGAGGTGTAACTCACTACAACACAAGTTCTGAAAAGGATAACACAGCCCTGCATCAAAATATACCCCAGTAACAATCAAGGTATACAAATGAACAAAAGCTCTCAAAACCATGCTAAATAAATCAAAATATGCAATAACCCCAAGCCAACAAGAGTAATGAGTAATGCTAAATTCCTCTTTAGTTTCCCAGAGCGTTCTGACGTTACACAAATCTCCCCGTTGGGATTGTTTATACTTTGCTAGTTTGAGCCAATGAGGCAAAGCTCCACTTCTGTTAGTCATGGTGACCCCTTCTTCAGCCTCCCAGAATCCTCTGGTGGTATGCAAAAGTTCTTTGTGAGGTAGTTTCCAGGCCACTCGTTTGATCCAATGAGATGAAGCCCTAGTTCCCTCTCTGCAAGTTGTGGTGAGCTGCTCTTCGCTCTCCCAGAATCCTCTGACACTGTGCAAACTCACTGGTAAGGCTGCCTAGTTGGGTAATGAACTGTTGGCAAGCAAACACCCAGCTCAGAAAGCACCAGCACATTTCAACCCTGAGCTTCTTATAAAGGTAGTCCTCGATTTATAAGAGTTCACTTAGTGACAGTTCAAAGTTACAGTGGCTCTGAAAAAAAGTGACTTATGACCATTTTTCACACTTATGACCATTTTTCACACTTATGGCCATGCACCCGCATGGTCCCGTGATTTACATTCGGATGCTTGACAACTCACTCACATTTATGACAGTTGCACTGTCCCTGGGGCATGTGATTCACTTAACTGTGTTACTAATTTAACAGCTGCAGTGATTCACTTAATAATTGTGGCAAGTAAGGTCATAAAATGAGGCAAAACTCACTTAACAAATTTTTCACTTAGCACCATAAGTTTTGGGCTCAATTGTGGTCAAACGTTGAGGACTGCCGGTTTTCTCTGTTGAAAGTTCTTTCTTGCTGTGAACTTGGGAGGTGGCCTTCATACCTGAAAGGTATGAAAACGTGACACTGCGCTCTTGCTTGGGAAATGCAGAGGAGAATGGCACCATCAGGCTGGTAGGGACCCTTTGTCTTTTAATTAATTTTTTTCATTGTTTTTAATCACCATTGCCTCCATTTAAATTTTAATTTTCTTTCCTGTTTTACTATTTTACTGTACACCAGCCCGAATGCCTGTGAGGTGAATGAGTGGTTCCAAAAATGTGTGTTTGTCTGTGTGTGTGTGTGTGTGAGTGAGAGAGAGAGAGAGAGAGAGAGAGAGAGAGAGAGAGAGAGAGTAAAGATATAGGAATATCTATCATATTCCTATATCTTTACTTTAAAGATATTGTGTATTTATAGTTTTTAAAGATATTGTGTATTTATAGTTTTCACCTACCATACCACACAAAGGTAAAAAAATCTTATATCTTCACCAAATCCTTATTGCTGCTCTTTACGTATAAGTTCATCCATCATTAAGATATTTAGCAAGACTAACTCCAACAGAAGAAGACTCAATATTATTTTTGTGCTGAATCACTTATTTATCACCTGAAAATAAGCATTACAGAGCTTTGGTATCCTTTTATTCATATTCCACATACACCATGACTGTCAAATTCACATCACTATCTGTAGAAAAGTCTTCATTGTCTATTATGGACTGTACTGTTCTGATCAGACCCATCAAGAAAGATTGAAAAAGCATTTCCCAACAAGAGAAAAAATCCTACATGTATTTACTTCCCCTTCATAAATCTTAATAGAAGTAGACAACTGGGACACACTTTTTGTTGACAAAATCTATTTCATTTATCAGAGGCTTAATGAACTGAGCTAAGTGGCAAACTGTGGCTCAGATAGACAACAAAACAGGAGGAATTAAGGTGCAGGATGCATTTTAACTCACCCCAGAAATTTGTGATGCATCCAAAATGCAAACTTGCAAGTTCTTCCCATATAAAAATTCAATCTAACTAGTCTGCCGCCTCCAATAATTGTATTTAGGAACGAGGCAAGGCTTTTTAGGAGTTGCTATTATTAGACCACCAGGAGTCAGAAAACCTTGCAAACCTTTCAAATGTCATCCAAACTTCCTGCCTTTCCCTAATATAAAGGTTTGTAGGAGTGATATGGAATGAAGCTTACAACATCCAAGCAAAATATTCCTATTGTTATTTTTCAAAAAGAGTAGCAGTTCACTTTTTTTTTTTCCAGAAAGCAAGATCCATCTCAGAGCAGTGTTTAACATTTTGCTGTCTTTTAGGTATACAAAAATTGCAACACCGAGAATGAAATTATACTTTAGCTGGCCAAACATGCCTCCAAACTAATGTCTCTCTATAGTCCAACTACGTTAAGATGAGGAAAATAGTTTTTCAAGAGACAGGCTTGTCTAGTAGAATGGCACCCAATAACAATTTGAAAGAAAATGAAACAAATATATATAAGGATGCATCTTTCCTCCCTTCTCTGCTGCACTTCTATTCTTTTGCCCAGCTGAAAACTAAAGGAAGCAAAGAAACCCCTCTACCCATTTGCACCAATTCAACACAGCTTTGCTTTGAATCAGTATGGCCAGGATTGCGCTCTGAGCCTGTAATCTGCAAATGAAAAGCCAAGCTGTCCTCTAATTCCAGCATCTAATTTCTGCTCTAGGTCAGGAGGCCTTACCCAGGACCAAGGGGACTCAGTATCTTCCGATGGCATCTTGAGATGATTCTCTTCCTCCATTGCCAGAGGGTTATGCTGCCAAGGACGCTAGCACTGATTTAAGTTTCAACCTGAAACAAAAATCCTGCCTTAAAGCAACACGCCGTTGACAACAAAGATGCAGACAGAATAATTTCCCCAACGCGTCTGTTTGCTTGCTAGTTTAGCCTGCTCATGTTTTTGGAACCTTAGCCTGGAAGAGAAACATGAGCTCTGTAATCTGGTACCCGCTGGCTTGGCAGCTGACTCTTCAAGTAGCCCTGTTAAGTCATAAGCCTCCTGGAAAAGGTGTTTACGTGTCCGGAGAAAAATAACTACCAACGTCTTGCATCAGGATGAACAATTCAGATTTATTTTTTCATTAAGGGCGAGGAAGGGGATGTGGTGCAAGATGGAAGTTGATAACTGTGGTATTGTTCAAAAAAAAAAAAAAAGAACCACTGGGGTTCTACTAGACCAGGGGTAGGCAACCTTGTCTCTTTTATGACTCGTGGACTTCAACTCCCAGAATTCCTGAGCCAGCCATGCTTGGCTGGCTCAGGAATTCTGGGAGTTGAAGTCCACGAGTCATAAAAGAGACAAGGTTGCCTACCCCTGTACTAGACTATGATAAAAATTTCTAATATTTAAAAATATGATTATTCATCCAAGATGAACCTTATAAACCAGAGGGCAGCAGAAGCCATTTGGAGGTCATGTGAATCTGGTTATGGAAATTGGCAAAAATACCATTTAGCATGGGACATTGTGATGTATTTCCTATAGCCCTGACCCACTAAAAATAGTAACAGCAGCAAACAAACTTTCTTGTATAACAAGTTGTTTCAGACACGATGCTATGAACTGTTTTGTGGTTGCACAATTGTAACTCTCTGTAATAGATTTATTCTTTAACATTGTTCAAAGCTCTCGTGGTTTTGTTCCCGAAAGAAATAATCAAATTCTCCAAATTATCAAATATGGGACATTGCATTTGCATTATTTTATTTCACTGGGAGGGGAGGGGGAATCCACCAACTTCCGCTGAGCCAGATTTCATAAGTGTATCTTTGGGTTATGGTGCACAATCAATGTGGGCTCTGCTAAAAAAAAAGAAGGCAATGACCAGACTCCTTAATTTAAGTAGTGCAGGCATGGTTTTCTTTTTTTAAAACAGTGGGATTTAAAAGTGCTTATCTCTGAACAGATCTCAGTCAATATAGATGAAGTGCTTAACACTTTTTGCCACTGAAGAAATTGAATTACAAGCATGAATTACAAGCAGTGTCATGTTCCTTTACAAGAATGTTCCTGAAAATTAGACACTTTAATTTTAATTAAAACTTTTAAAAAATGAAGAACTCATTGCCCATCAAAGAGTTAGATAGGACAATCAATTTGTCCTTTTCCTGTTGTGATTCATTGCCAAGTCCTTTGACAGATGAAGTTTTCCAGCATTTAACCTTCTGATGATTCCTTATCCTCATTCCAGTGCTGATAATTGTAAATACTGTTATAAGCAGAAAAAGAATTGAACTTCAAATTGCACCGTCTGCGGAGGTGGTTCCCCTCTGCTGGTTTAACCCTAGGAAAACATCTCTGTGGCCAACTGCTGATGTTTGTGCTGTACAGTCCAACATGGGCTACTTTCAAGGCAGATACATCTCTGAATATATCCCTGAATTTTTAAACACTTTTCCATTGCATTAGAAGTTCTACCATTTTTGAAGGTTTTTAGGGAATCTGGAAAGCAAATATCTTTGAAACAAAGATCCAACAGGTCATGAGTTGTCTAACATTCAGTACTACTAAAACTCTCCTGTTTGTCTGTGTATCTTTAGTGGATGAAACAGTGTGTTGTAGGCAACAGTTATTGAATGAAGGTACTTCAAAAGAGCTAATTTATAAAATATGTCCAAAATCTAGGCCCATGACTCCTGTGGACTTGAAATCTGGCAAATTTTATAAAACATTTTATACATAAAAGTTATCATAAAGCATTTGTGACATAATACAAAATGTCATAAAACATGTCCTGTGGTCAACTGTTGATATTTGTGATATATAGTTCAATATAGGCTACTTTCAAGGTGACACATCTCTGAATATCTCCCTGAATATTTCCCTCTGTCTCTTTTCCAATGAGATTAGGTATTAAAAGCCCTGTCGTTGTTGAAGGCATTGAGGAAACTGGAAAGGAACTATCTCCTTACCAGTGTCCTATAAATGCCTCCACTTCAAAGATTATGTTGAACAAACAACGATTCTGAGACAAGGATGAGGAAAATCATTACAGTAGAATCTTCTAGAATCATCCACTCTGTCTTGCGGCCTATCCAATGTAATGAGGACGGGTTTTGCATCATCTCAGCAATAGCAAGGGGCGATTGTGGAAAATTACTAGAAGGGTAAAGGGCTAAGCGTCCATTTTCATTAAAATGGAAATATAAGGCACAATCCCTTGGACAGTTCTTTTCTGCAATTCCTACTAAGTCTGATACACACTGCCATGCTCTTCCCATTTCCCGTTCATTTCACTGGGGCTTGCAGGGGAAAAACTGCCCAGTTCATTTTTGCCTTTAGCACTTTATCCAAATCTTTTCACATAGTTGTTCACTTATCAGCTGCATTGTATACTAAGAATGGAGCATTTTCTTGTCTACTGACTTCTAATTCGACAAAAGGTTAAGAAGGCAATCTACTTCTAAATGTTGAACTATACCACCCCAAATATTTCATGACAAAATCATCTCTATAATTTATACAACCAAAACAAAGGCAAGGAGAGCCTATAAGCAATTCAGCTACAACAAGCAGCAATTCCACTCTGCTACTGACACAGAACGAACAGCTTAAACATCTTAAATTATAAAAGATACTGACATAGTCTGAAATTATAAACACAAGTGTGTCAAATAAAATAGAATTATAATACAGATATTTCAAATTTGCCTACATGTTTTGTCTACATGGTGGGTTTTTTGTTGTTGTTGTTTTTTTTTTTGAAACTTCAGCTGAACATTTAAGTTGCCCCACCATCACTATTTTCACAACTTATTTTTAGTTGGAAGAGTCTCCTTGAAGATGTTGGATGATTTCTTATCAAATATGCCGTCCTGTTAAAAAAAAGAGGGGCCTGTCTTCTTTGGCATTGGCGGTTTGAAACTCGTCTCTTAGCCGGAATTGCCACTCATCTTCCAGTTCTAGCCGGACAACAGTTTGGCGAAGGGAGTTCCTGTCTTGGCAAATGACACATAAGGTGGCCCCTGTGGGAATTATTGTTATTAGCATTTGTGTTACATATACATAACTAATAGAAGAAAATATTAGTAGCTCAGGGTTGAACTATAGAGTCCTTGGTGCTCTCTGAGCTTGGTTGTTTTCTTGCAGATGTTTCATTATCCAACTAGGTAATATCATCAGTGCTAGAAGGGAATGTGGTTAGTTCTCTTTTTATATATTAGAGGCTTGCCCAGTCAGTATTGGTCAGTATTAATTATGGAACCTAATCAAGGAACCACTAAGAACACTCCCACCAACACTGGTAGGGCCAGCCATAAACCACATAAATAGAGAGAAAACCCCCCACTCTCTTCTAGCACTGATTATGTTACCTAATTGGGTAATGAAACATCTGCAAGAAAACAACCAAGCTCAGAGAGCACCAAGGACCCCCACATATATATAACTTTCTGAGCTAAAAAAAAATCATACACAACACCCTGAACCCAAACCCCAGCTCTCAATTATGGAATCATTTAAAAGATAGTATCAGTCAAAAGGAGAAGTGCTGAAAGGACAACTTTTTAGCAATCAAGAGGCACCAAGCAATCTCTTAGAGGACGGGTGTCAAACTCGCCACATCATGTGATGTATTGTGACTTTTTTTTTGCAATACTGGAGTTGGGGTGCAACTGTCCCACGGGCCGGCAGTTTGACACCCCTGTCTTAAAGATATGCTTGTCTCCTGCTTTCTTGCCCTCTCTGCCTCATAGGATACTTTTCATAGGTGGCAAAATAATTCCTATCTCCTTCCACTTGCTGAATATAGTATTTGGAATGAGTGGGTATTAGAGCAGTCAATCCAGACATACAATGCAGGGCACCTCCTGCAGTTTACATTCCTGGGAAGGTGGGGAGATGTATGAAACTAAAGGGAAAGAGATTTGGGAGATGTAAATGAAAAGAGAGGTCTGAGGAAAAGTCACAGCCTTAGCTTTAAGGAAAAGGTTGCATATTTAGCACCAAGGAAGCAAGAACTGACAATCATAGATATGTGGTAATATTAAGAAAACCTGGTTCCAACCAATTTTCAATTATTATTAAATATTTATTTGGTTTCTTGTTGAAATAAAGAAAAGAGAAGAAAACCAAAATAATTTCCAATATAAGAAAGATTTTTTGGGAAGGGAGGGAGGGAGGGAGGGAGGGAGGAAGGAAGGAAGAAAGGAAAGAAGGAAGGAAGGAAGGAAGGAAGGAAGGAAGGAAGGAAGGAAGGAAGGAAGGAAGGAAGGAAGGAAGGAAGGAAGGAAGGAAGGAAGGAAGGAAGGAACCATCAGAACAATTAGGGTATATAACAGTATTCCTTGTAGAACATTTAATTTCCTTGTCGGCAATTAGATTAGTCAAAATGCTATTTTAAAAACAGATCAGGTTCCTTGTTCCCAGGAAGCCAATCTATTCCTGCACTGAATAGATGTTTCTTCTGGAAGGCTTCTTTTTTTTCCCTGAGTAGTTTTTCAGATAGGAAAGTTCAAGTATCAGAAACACAAATGCTTTTGTCCTTCCTGTCTGCCTGCCTCAAAGATGTCAAGTCACAACAGCAACCTCTTACCTTTCAAAAAGTGGAATTTCTTCAAGAAGCTGGCTACAACAAAGGAATCACAGAGATACAGCAAGAGTCCACTGAATATCATCTCAGAGCAGCTGACATTCATAGAATGAGGCCGGGAACTAACATAACAAACTGCAATCTGTTGCAAGAGGAACAAAACGGCAAGAATGGTTTACTCTCCCATCCAGAGACAATTCAGGTTAGCATTTACTAAACAGTTATGGCCACAGAAAACATCGACAGTGGTTTCAGATTGTGCAGGGTATTATGGAATCCATTTATTGTGGATAAATGAATCCATTTTTCCAAATATTAATGTCAACGCTGCAAATATTGTATATTCTTGCTTTTGACAATATGTAGAATTGTCTGGTAAATATGGGGTTAATACAGAGCAGAAGGGGGGTTGGGATGGGAAAGAAAGAGGAAGAAAACATTTGACCACACTAATTGGGTAATGTGAGATATGATGGCTAATTTAGGGAGGGAACATACTGATAATTTAACTGCTCAG